ACCAAATGAACACCAGAGAGCTCCAAGTTTGTTCTATGTGATCCTCCCAAAGGTTTGTTAATCTGCTGGTGTCTCCCTAACACCTCAGGAGAGAATTTGCTGCTGTAGAAACGTGGCCAAAGCTCTCCCATGCACAAAAACAAGGGATAGATAATTTCTTTAGCAGGAGAGAAAGGACTGGTTGCTTAAGGGAATATTTAAGTGAGCTTGCTTCTCCTCCAGGATTCATAAATATTTAAATACTTCTGATCCACATGTCCAAACAGTGAGCACACAATCCACCCACAGAATTGAAGCCTGAATAATCACTTGAGCTATGGGTGTGGTAAACACAGTTATTTGTGCTGAATGCTGCTTGAAACAATGCTGCATGAAAACCTGAGCAAAAATTTTTGGCTACTTGATTTATCCTGGATTGGGAAAACAGACCTTATATTTTAACTGTGTTTTCAAATAGACATCATTGCCCATTTTCATCTTCACAAGGAATAGACAAACTAGAGAACTGCAGATAAAGCTTCAACAGATGCCTTTGCCAACTGAAAACAATAAATATGATCAGCTACCCAGGCACTTGGGGTAAGGTGTGTCACAATCCTCTCTGGCAAACACAGGGCAGCTGCATGAGACACCCAAGTCCATAATGAGCAGTTCCTGTGCGAGTGACTGCAGGCTGCCAAGGGACTGTGTTTTCTTGATTTCCTAGAACAGCAGAATCCCTAGGAATGACCTTTGTGAGTTCACTGTTGTCACATGCTCCTCTGTGGCTGGTTTCTGTCTGGTGAGAGAGTGAGACAGAAAAATCTGTCTCAATAGTTCAAGAGGAACAGAAAAAAACCCTAATGTCTCTTTCCCCAAAGTTGGCTTCATATCATGTCCAAGGAGTTATTATTTATTTCAAATAKCTGTGAGTAATTTGGAAAGAACCTCTTATAAAGAGGCTCAAGTCTATTGCTTTTTCTCCCTGCAGGCACAATAGTTTCCAGGGATATCTTTGGGAGTTTCAGCCATGTAGAGGAAACAGCCTGTCAAAGGCAGATTCTCTGCTGTGGWTTTGAGACAATTGTGCTTTCCAAATCTTAGGCAATAAAGCAGCAAAAGAGAACAAATCCAGAAAATGGAGAGGAAAAACCACGTTTGCAATAAATTGATTTATTTCACCAAGAAGAATTGAGGTCCTATTTTGGTTCAAGACTGTCCATGGTAAGCAAGCACAGTAACCCACTAACTTCARCTGAAAAAGAGTCGAGGCCAAATCTTATCTTGTGAATGGATATAACTGAGAATGGATTTAACTCTCATAAACAGAACCTGTGGAAATGTAAAGGATAACAATGCTGCACATATTTGCTCAGTCTTGTYTATGTAGTAAAGATTTACAAATTAYACAGGTGCCCATAATAACACTTCAACCCCTTCACAAGTGCTTCTTATTTCTGCTCAATGGAAATGTTCCACTTACCTTAGAACACATAGAAGCAAACAGGCATTGCAGAAAAAGAACAATATTCAGTGTATGTGCTGTAGGTGACACCGAACCCGCCTCCCCATCCAACTTGAAACATGCCATGGAGTATTTAGACAGCCTTATTTTAGGGACCTAAAATTAGTTCCTCTGAATCACACTTTAGAAGAACCTATTTCTGTCCCATACTACACAGGAAACTTAAGTTCCTCATTCAGATGCTGTAATTACTCTTGCCCTMATCCCCCAAACAGAAAAATTCTCTGTAAAATAGAAGTTTATGCAATAGAGATGTTTCTGGGTTGCCTCTGGCACCTTTCAATGMCAGCTTTGGATGACTGACCAATTTAAAAACACATGGCTGAGGGAGTCTGAGGATCCTCATCAAAAAGCAGGCTATTCTTCTTTATTTCTGTTAGGGGGCTTTGTGAGATACTGGGGGTTGTAGAATAGGGCAGTTATGATACAAATAATAAGAAGCTCCTGTTGGATTGGCTATTCTTTTCCAAACTGTAAACTCRTAGAATCCTAGAATGGTTTGGGTTAGAGGGAACCTWAAAGCTCATTTTTGTACCCACTSTCATGGGCAGKGACACCTTYACACTATCCCAGGTTGCTCCAAGCCCTGYCCAGCCTGGCCTTGGATATTTCCAGGGATGGGGCAGCCACAGCTYCTCAATGCCAGGGCCTCACTACCCTCACAGGGAAGAATTTCTTGTGTATAACTAATCAAAACCTATTCTCTTTCAGTTTAAAGCCATTCCCCCTTGTCTTGTCACTCCAAGTCCTTGTGAAAAGTCCCTCTCCATCTTTCTCTAGGCTCCCTTCAGRTACTGGGAGGGCCTCAGGTACTGAAATCAAAAATTATCCAACTTTTAACTTGGATGGGAAGGAACAGATTGGTCAATTAGGAAACGTCTAGGCTAAGTAGTCACTGGAGAGCTGAGGCAGCAGAAAGCAGTGTTATGGCTGAGTGACAAGATTCCCAAATCTCTGGGGCAGTGCTGGTGCTGGCTGCCCTCAGGCATCACCCAACGAGGGAACACATGAACAACCCCCAGTRTCACCCATGCCACCCAAAGTTTCTCATGAATGGAAAGATTATATTTTTTTCACAACTACACCACTCAGATTCATCAATTCTCAGGAGGCAATGCCAAAACCAACAGGTGGCTGTCGCATTTGGGTTGCTGGCAATTCATATTCCTCCTACTTAATAAGAGAGGAAGAGGTTGTGGATGTGAAGTAGCACAGACGGGTCCTGTGTTATGAAAGCCCTGTCCTTCATCATCTGACTTGGGATCCAAATGTGCTCTCACACACTGCTGCAGCCAAAACATATTGCAAACTTGAACAACACATTTATTTTTGACTCACTTGGCAAAACCTATCTTTTTTTTTTCTTCTTTTAAAGAGCATAATGGCGACGTAGCAGGGAGGGAAAAGGATTAGYTTTTTAATAATTATTAAATGTAATTAGTAAATGAATCAGTATGCAGAAAATACATTACAAATGCAAGTACTACAGGTATGTTTACTATCGTAATTATGAATGGAACAGGAATCTCCTTTCCCTTTGTTTCACACTCTGAAAACAGGAATGAAGGAGATCAAATGAGTTAGTAGGATGGCTGTCAGAGGTGCTGAAGGCCTAACTTGGCATATTTTTCCCCAAAAGGTGAGTGTTTAATTGTGGCAGAAGGCACTCATGTGTCTAAGGTCACAGATGAGAAGGCAGATTGCTGGCTCAGCAAAGGTTCCCTGAGGTTCCCAAAGGTTCCTAAAATAAGTTCCCTGAGGTCAGAGGTGCTCATCCACATGCTGAATACCCCAAAATGTGAGAAAAATCAAGGCTCAGTTTTAACTTGGGTTAKAAAGGGCAGGAATAATTTTTTATAACATGGCTATGTAGCAACAGAACACAGTTGGGAATTTCTTGATGTATCTGCCAACTTCAATTTCAGAGTATTGGGCTAGAATTTTGATTTTTTTTTTTCCTCTTAGCCTGCATGCTTCAAATGTAACACTTTCCCTCACTAGAAATGCCTGAACAAATCACTGCTGCAGTTACATATCAAGAATTGCTTCTAAGTGACAGAAAAGTAGTAATTTTAGACTTTTCCATTTCAAGGTACACGTATTTTCACTTATCCTTTTCACTATCCATAGATATTGGGGTTTTTTTATTACAGTTTTTGGGCCAATTTATCCTTGACTGAACTGGTGATAAAACTAYTCATTCCGTATTGTTTATTACTGTTTTCACCAGCAAAACACTAAACCAAGATATACTTTATCCCGGCAGAAATCTGACTTTGATCAAGTTCCATTTTTAATTCAAGCCAGAAAGGGCAGAGATTCATCTATGAATTGTTTGCCTCGTGTAGATATGAGGCAACACAATTGTAAAGTCCCTGTGAAAGATGGAAACTATTTTAGTGAAGTCCAGCTATTTTGTAATAATGTAAAAGTTGATAGATGTAATCTATGAGATCATGTGATACAAAATCTTCTAGGAATGGTATTTCAAAAGGATGGGACAGTAAACAAAATCCTGGTGCTTCCTTTACTAAAATTATAGGTCTAGGAATGTGAAARCAGGTAGATGATATAAGTGCACTCCTCAGGAAGCTGCCATGATGCCTTTGCCTGTCATACTTAGGTTTTCTGCGGCATTTCTCTTCTCCCTRTTGTGYTCCAGAATTTAGTTAGCCTATTTTKTTTTTAAATTTTAAGCAGAGCTAGTTTGAGCATAAAGATCAGAAAACAGGATTTGCCCKTGTCAGTAGCTCTAAATCTAATCAGTTTGCAGCTGTTGTATGGCCACGATGTAATTCTTGAGGGGAAATTCAATTATATTAGGACAGCTGGAGATAACAGCTATCAGTGYTGTTATCACATATCCCTCAGCAGTTTATCCCACACCCACGGCCCGCGGGCGAGCTCTGCGCTCCTGACTAGCGTTATTATTTCAAATAAGCCTCTTAGGCAGCCGCACAATCTGCTATCAAACTCCAGGGCTAATTACAGAACCACTGAATCAATTAGGATGGCAAAGACCTCGGAGATGATCATCGAGTCCAGCCTATGGCCCGACGCTTCCGAGTCCGCCAGACCCCGGCACTGAGCGCCCGGTCTGTCCCCGCACCTCCGCAAGGATGGGGATTGCCTCGTTATCTCCAGCACCCGCCCCATCCCCACCTCACTGAGTTTTTTTTTTTGAGCGAGGACCAACGCTTGATTCCCTCCCAATGAGAGCAGCCGGCGGGTGAATGTTTTCACTCCGAATTACGCGTCCAGSTGGCGGCAGATTTGGGAAAAGGGCTTTTTAACAAACCGCAAAGCGGCAGAGCGCGAACCCTGAATTTGGGTGAGCGCTGCGGCCTTCCCGCAGGGCCCGGCAGGGGCAACACTGTGCTCTTCCCCGGGGACAGCCTCGGCCCCACGCCCCCGGCCCGGCCCTGCCCAGCCCGGCCCGGTGCCCGCGGAGCGCCCGGAGCCGCCCCGGGCCCGCCTTCCGCCGGAAGTGAGCGGCGCGGAGCCGAGCGGGGCGGGCGGGGCGCGGCGGCCGCGGTCACCGGCCCTCCCCGGGCAGTGCCGACATGGCCCGGCCGCCGCAGAAGGAGATCGTCTACAACAAGCTTCTGCCCTACGGTGAGCGCCTGGATGCAGAGGCCGCCCGCTTCCTGGCGCACATCAAGGGCAACCTGGCCCGAGCCGTGCAGCTGCAGGAGCTCTGGCCCGGCGGGCTCTTCTGGACCAGGAAGCTCTCGACGTGAGTGCCGGGGCGGGACGGGGAACGGGGCCTCGGGCTGCGAGCTGCGCGTCAGTCCCTTGCCTTGCCTTGCCTTGCCTTGCCTTGCCTTGCCTTACCGAGCCGTGCCCTGCCCGCCGGGAGCGCTCCCGCATAACGGAACCGCCGCGCCCGGCCGGGCTCCCGGCCGCTGTCCCGTCCGCGCCTTACACAAGGCCAGCGCTTCCCCGTCGGAAACGGGGACAAAGGTGGCTCCGGCMGCAGGAGCTCGCCTGCCGCCTCTGAAACTTCCGAATTCTACGAGTTAACCGCTTGTGCATTTAACTCGTGCTTTTATTTTTTTTTTTTTGTACATATTTTAATGCCTACTTGGCCACCTGTTTCACCTCTCCCCTTCTTAAGCAAGCAGTGGTTGATAACAATCTCCTWGTAACTTCTGCTATAGGGACACGGAGTCTTTCTCAAGACGGACGATTTGTTGGGTCAGTGCGAGCAGGATTATATTCCGGCTTAATGCTGTGTAAACACCGCTGGTGCCCTTGATATCTTGGCTGTACTCTGGCGTGGGGTAGTTTGTGCTGATGTTGGCCGTGCTGTGTGCGCTGGCAAGGTGGTTTTGATCCAGATAAACCCACGGTGGTTTCATAGATAGCACCGAGTACTACATAGTGAATTTCTCCTCGTGAATTTTACAAAGTACACTTGGCCCCTTTTTATCCGGGGCRCTCTGGCACTGGCCATGGGATCATATGACAGTGAGTCTTGTAGCTTCAATCAGTAAGTTCTGTGGATGTTTATCATGTTTTGTTGCTGARCGCTGTGTATACCGWYATARACAGCATTTCCTGTGTGCCAGAGACAACGAAATACGTGTGTTTTGAACCGTTTTGAAATGCTCACTTACAACTTCCCTCCTTACATAAGTCCCTTTTCTATAATGTTGTTTGGTATTTTAATATACGTTTGTCAGTCAGAGCCTGTTAGATACAACTGTATTGGAATTTAAGCGTCTTTCTGTTTCCCAAGAGGCAGTCTTAGATAGAATTACAGTGGTGGTTGCAAAATGACTCACATGTTTGTGTTATGTGACAGTTTGAACCTGCTTGGAACCAGTTCAAGACTGCTTGCCTTCCCACCCCACCCCCCCAGGCATCTGCCAACTCATGCTGGTTTCAGTGGTACCTGTTGCCTGTGGTACCTGTGGTGGAACTTCCTTTTCCCATCGARTTGAAARAAACGTAGGAATTCCTACAGTGAGAAAGACGGGCTTTAGCTAAACAGGCTGAATAGGCACAGAAATTCATTCAAAGTGTGCCTTAGAACCACCCCGTTACTCACTCTGTAAATGCCAATTGCTGTTACCACTTCAGGCTCCAGGGCAGTGAATTTGCCCTGTTGGGAACCACTGCTGTTCTGCTTTATGAATCACAGAAAGGTCAGCAGGCTCCAATTTGTGGTTTTCCACCTACTCTTTGAAGTTTGAATTCATTGTGAGTGTTTGCAGCTTGTCTGATGCCTGTTAGTACCAAGATTTTCTTTGTGGCATTTTAGATACAGGGAGGCTCTGAGTGTGTTTGGTGTGGGCAGGGAAGGAAACAGTGGGCTTGGTGTAAAAAATAAGCTGGTGTAGTTAATGTGAGAGATTTGTTGCTGCTCGGTTTGACTTGACAAAGTACTTCTAGGGAKAAAAGCTGAGAGAACCCGGATTGTTCAGCCTGGAAAAGGGARGRCCCAGGGTCACTTAATTGTGGCTTTCCAGTATCTGAARGGAACCRACAAGAAGAAGGAGAGGGGCTATTTGKAAGGRCCTGGAGTGCCAGGACAAGGGGGAATGGCTTYAGACKACCAGAGGGCAGGGTTAGATGGGATATTGGCAAGGAATTCTTCCCTGTGAGGGTGATGAGGCCCTGGCAAAGGTTGCTCAGGGAAGTTGTGGCTGCCTTATCCTTGGCAGTGTTCAAAGCCAGGTTGGATGGGGCTTGGAGCACCCTGGSATAGTGGAAGGTGTCCCTGCYCATGGCAGGGGGTGGGACTGGTTGGGCTTTGATTTGGGAGGGAAGGGACCTTATTCTGTGATTCTGTGAAATAAATTAGTAGAAGTTTAGACGTAGATAAAACCCTTCCAGCCCTGTGGTGCTCATGACAATAGCATCYGATTTCTGCTGTCTCTTGATAGTCATGGACTCATCTCCGAATCGACTTGCTCCCTTTTTACCTTCTGGAAAAAAAAAGCTATAATTAATACAAAGACAGTGTTTACAATCTTCATAACGGAATGAGGGCTGCTTAGATGTGTTGACAATTTGTCTGTATTGCAAAGGCTGGAATTCTCACAGTATTCTTTGAAATACTTTATGCCTTTAATCTATTTATTGTACAGATACAAATGTTATTACAAACTGGGATACGTGCACATATGAATGAGCAAAGCAAACAGTGGTATGCAGATGATACACCTGCACAGTTACACCTCCTCAGCTTCATACAACTCTGTGCCACAGGAGAGAATGAAAATGAAACTCAGATCTTTTTTTGAATTAAAAATTTGACTACTTTTTCATGGTGACAGCTGAACTGTGCAATTTTTATACCCCCCACAGCTGGAACCATGACTTGCACATATTTATCTTTAGAACAGCTGTTTTGGCTGTCTGTTATCACGAATTGAGTAGAAGGCAGAATAGGAGTTTACCAGACATAATGTCTGTAAGCTGATTTGCATAATTCTTTTATGGGTCATTTTCAGTGGTGACAACTGGTTCTTTTGAGATGCATKTGTGGAGTGTGGTGAGAGAACTTTCTCTCCTGTGAGGAGGGTAACTTACGATTTGATCAGACTTCTGAAGCCAGTAAAACTTGCCTCAAAGACTGGCAGTTAAATCTGTAATAATTGCTCCAAGTTTCCTCCAGCTTTGGCTGGTAAAAGCTTGTAAAATACTGACTGGGTTGTGAAAGCAGAAGGGTGAATCTTGGCTTGCCACAGCATGTGTGGGAAAAGCAGGTTGCATCAAAATAATTTGCTTAACTGGCCTTGCTCCATGATCTTTTATGGTCTCTAGGTCAGCGGTAGTTACTGTCTCAATTTCTCCCTCTTTCATGTTTTATAGATTGTTCTAAAAATTAAAAAAAAAAAAACCAGAACAATGTAGCCAGTATTAATATACTATGGACATTTCATGGTTACAGTACATGAAGTTAATTCTGCAGCCAGGCAAAAACACAAATGCATCTCTGTGCTTTCTGCTCCAGTAGTCAGGGGCGTGTGAAGCTGAGGGGCACAGTTGCTGTCCCTGACAATGTTATTTTATGTGCTGTCAGGTGTAGATTTATAAAATGACATTCAACTGTCTTGCTGTAAGGTGTGGAAAAAATGCAGCTCAACTGTTTGGAAGGAGAATGACAGACGCAAAGTTACAGTGAGGATGGAAATGTCTCAGTGGRACTCTGCCAAGTATTTTAATCACTATTGCCTAAAAGTCTTGTTTGATATCTTTCTCTCATCTTTATGAGGGAAATAGAAGCTTTCTTTGGCTACATATGGGATGTGTGTTGTGTACATGTGATTGAAGCAGTCCTGCTGAGCAAGATTCATTGTTTTTTACATAATTTGTCAGAAACTGAGCTTTAAATCAGTCGTGATCCTGTCCTGTGTGTTAGGAACTGCAAATGGAGAGGCAGGAATTTAGGAGAGTGTGCTATTCAGCTTCTGGAGGGGAGGCAATTTTTAACTGTAGCAGAGCAGCCAACTTTCTAGGGCAGTTTAGGATGGCCACATGATATGATAGTACACTTCCTAAAAATAGGCCTATTGTACTTGTGGAGGGAGAGATTGGATATCCAGCACGCCGAGATTGGGGAATTTGCTTTATGGTTCCTTTCTATTTTTTTTTGTGATCTCCAGAGACCCTCTACTCTGTACAGAAAGGATGGAGTTGGAAACAGAATTTTCACTTCCTAATCATGTTTTTAGGTTGTGTTGAGTGGGTTTTGTTTGTTGGTTTTTTGTTTTGTTTTTTTTTCCATGTAGCTGAACCCAGGGGACCAGCACAATGAAGGACAATTAATTTATTGTTTTTGYAGGATATTTATTGCTTTTGCTCATAAAACCTCAGAGGAATCAAAAGGGCAGTGGAGTTAAGATTTCAGGTGTCATCTCAATGTAGTATTATCTGTTTCCAGAAGTMTTATTTTTTATTTTGGAACAATTTAGTTCTAGAATTATTATTTCTTTTCCCCAATAACCCAATTATCCCAAAGAGACATCATTTCTGTGATGAACGTTATCTGTCTGATTAGCCTCTGGGCACTCTTCAGGGTTCATGAAGTTCTGCCTATATTCTTTCATTTAGTAATGGTGGTATTTCATTGCTTTTGAGGGGATATTCTGAAAGTACTGCAGTTCCCCTGTGATAGATTTTACTTATTTAATCCTGAGAAAAAGGCTAAGCACCCCCTCTCTAGAAGTATTTATTTTCTKCCACTGCCTTAATGCTCAGCTGGATTAATACAAATAATTGACCCCTTTCAACTCGGCCTCCCTCCTACATAAAGAAGCTGTAAAATACGGGAGCAATTTGGCATCAAGTCCTGYTGCTTGGGCATAGTGACATCTTTGTGTTCAGCACATTTCTGTGTATTTTATTTCTTCTTTCTTAATTAAACWTCATTTTGTGTAGCAGAGCTGTTGTTAGCAAATGTCATGAAGGAGAACCAGCCAAACATTTTATTTTCAGTTATWTATAGCAATGCTGGCAGATAAATTGGATCTCTGTGTTTCTTTGTCGTTAAAACTTGTTTTCCAGGCTTCTGCAGTTTCTTTTTTGTTTTAATCTTATATATTTCACCCTTTTTTTTTTCCCTGTGGATTGTTTTTGAATGTATTTTTTTAGGCATGTGAAAAGTGTAGGTGTTTAGCCCTTGGTGGTGTAATTCTGTAGGTAGGTAGTGTCTCTGGCCAATCCAGATTATTTAGGTTCTTGTAGTGGGAAAGTGGGTTATCCTGTATTTTGTTTGTTTCCTTCTGCGTTTAAAGTAAGTACAACTTGTTGAAATGAACATTAGTGAAAACACTGTCCATCAAATGTAAACATCCCCCCTTGAATTTGACAGGAAAAGGGAAGTGCAAAGCAGCTTTCTTAGGAGTCTTTAAGAATAATCAGAGCAGTAATAAAAAGGGAAGTTGCCTCCCAGTRAAGAGTAATTTACAGTTGTGCCACACCTAAAAAGCTCTTCTAACACCTTATATAGGCTTGCTGGTGCTGAATATCTTTCAAGACTTGAAACATGTTTCTTTTTTCAATCTCAACTTAAAAACAGCAGATCCGATGGATCTGGATAGTGGGACACATCACCAGCAAAGCTCAGTGTCTAAATCAATTGTTCATCCTTACTGGAAGCAATTGGATTTRGGCTTCTCTTGATACTTTTTGGGTTGTTTTTTTTAGCTTCTGGGTTGTGTCCTGTCCTTGAGGTTGCAGTATTTGTGTACACTTAGAGGGCTGTAAAGTTTATTTGGTCATTCTTTTTCTTCCTRTAATTGCAGTTGTAAATCTTCCATTGATGTGTGTCTTCAGGTTCCTATTCATGGGATTTGAGAACCAAGTTTTAGTTTCATTTCACTAAACAGCAAACCAGAGGGGTTCTGGCTCAAGTCTTGGATAAAATAGGATCTTGTAAAATATTGCTGACTCCTCTTGTGTTTGATTTGCAGGTACATCCGACTCTATGGGAGAAAATTCAGCAGGGAGGATCACGTGCTGTTTATCAAACTATTGTATGAGTTGGTGACAATTCCAAAGCTGGAGATCAGCATGATGCAAGGGTTTGCACGCCTGCTGATCAACCTGTTAAAGTGAGTACAGATTTCTGCTGACTCTGGAAACTTCTGTCTCAGAACAGCTGATCTCTTGCTCAATGTTGTACTTTTCATGTAGCAGAGTTCTTACAGATTACTTCACTGACCTGCCCTGTACAGTGCTGGTGGTTAAAGGGTCCTCTTGTGCAAACACTTTCCAAAGCYTTCGGAGTGAGATTGAAAGTGGAAGGCTGCCAGTTTTCCCTCTATTGGGAAAACCAAACAGTTCAGAGAGCCAAGAATTAAGGCTGAATCTCAGCTAGGGAGAAAATGAAAACTGGCTTGCAACTTGATAGTGTTTATTTCACTTAGTCAGGAAAAATCTTGACTGCGTCATTTGTGCTGAAGGCTGCCAGTGGCCAGGCTGGTCCTGCCTGGCCTTCGTGCAGTTTGTGCCAAAGTGGGAGCAGGAAGGGGGGTGTTCCCATGTGCAGCGTGTCCATGTCAGTGTTTAATCCTGAAGTGCTTTGTGTTTTGTTTCCTATTAGGAAAAAAGAGCTGCTTTCCAGGGATGATTTAGAGTTACCATGGAAACCACTCTATGAAATGTTGGAAAGGATATTATACTCCAAAACAGAACATCTGGGATTAAATTGGTTTCCCAAGTAAGTTCACGTTTTAAAACATTTGATAGGCCRTAAGTAGCTGCTTTAAAGTGCTTTGTAATATACTTTTAATGTCTGGAATCTGATAGATGGGAAATATTCTGTTTCTGTTTTCATGAGGCACCTTTCAATAATTGCATGCAGGAGTGCACTGAATCATGTATATCATTCTGCCAGTGGCTTGTGTTTGTCATGCTGCTTCTTTCTTTATGAATGTGATTAATTTTTAAATACACTGCAACAGAGATCTTGCTTAACTTATTTTAGGGGGACAACCCACAGTTTAATAAATTTAGTATGAAATATTTAAAATATTGTTGTGKTTTAACCCCAGCTGGCAGCTAAGCCTTCCTCACTGCCTTCCATGGTGGGATCAGAGAGGGAATTGTAGGGGTAAAAGTGAGAAAACTCGTAGGTTGAGCTAAAGATGGGTAATAATGTGAAGAAAATTAACTTAAACCAGTACAGATACTAAGTTAAATTTCTGCTGTTCTGTTCTATAACACAATAAAGTTGGGTAAAAAAAAGTTACAAATGGTACTTCCCTTCAATATTTGCACTTTAATGATTCCCAGGRTCTGGAATCCAGGTGTAAATGAGTCTATACACCAAGAAAAGTGGAATGTCTTCTATAGGAAATATATGCGTATACTCCAAGTGGTGCTGTGGTAGGGAGAAGTAATTTTTTTCTCCACTTAAGAATTTTAGACATGTTCTACTGATTTTAGAAATTAAAACTTGTTTTCTTTGCTTTCTCTGCACTGTCAATCCTTCTCCATCTGTCAGATTTCCAGGCTTACCATTTTCATAATTATCCTAGTTAGATAAGGTCCTGCTCTGTGAATTATAGATTATAAAAAGTAGCATATAGATAACACATTGAATTGAAACTTTATGTGAAGAAAATGCTGCATTTGCTTTTAAACGAGTTAATTTTCTGAATGCTACTGAAGCACTGCCATGGATTCCTGAGGAAAAGACCTATTGCTGTTAAGGGACATGAACAGGAAATACAAGCAGCATTTCAGGCTGAATTTCTCCTGTGGCTGTGTAGCTGAAAAAAATCAGTTTGCTAAATTGAATTATTTTGATAATTGTGAGTAAAATATGAAAGAGCAAAGCCTTCCTTGGTTTATTTTGGCTTTATTTTTTTAATTTTGCCCCTACACACCTTGCTCTGGAGGGATGGTATTGAATAACTACTGTGCAGTGGGGAGGGAACTTTTCCAGGAGGCAAAAGGAGGTTAAGCCTGGAGGAAGCTCTCAGTTGTGTTGGTCTGTCTGAAGCATTCAGCTTTTATTAACTTTGTTACATGTCAGACACTCCATGCAGTGCAATTCCTTCTCATACAGTGCTCATCCTTTTTTCAGGGCTATCTTTTTAGTAGAATTCAGGGTTTTACAAGCTGATCTGATTTGTAGCTGTTTAATTTATCTTCTGTTTTAATTGAATTTTATTTTTGTTTACATTCAGTTCATATCGACCAGGCTGGTCTTCACCTAAAACATTTGTGCTTAATGTATTACATAGGTGGTAAGAATGACTTTTTTTTGTTGAGCTGTGGCCGATGTCCCTTCTGCATGTTCTGTTGGACTGTAACACTGTCACACAGGTGGAATTCTCTGCATAAATAATTGTATTTGGAAGCCCAAYGTTAACCTGACACCACTGGTTATGAGAATGTTGCACTGGATGTAAACCTCGCTAATTGGGGACCCAGGCAGTGTGTGTGGAGTGTCTCTCCAGGGCTCTGTTCTAACTAATTTAACCAGCAAATATATTTCAGGGGTCAAATGAGAGGTAAATTTTTACATTGCAATCATCATTGTGTCTGATTGGGAATAAAATCACCATTGGTACAGGGGCATGTTTTGGAGTGAAGGAACCTTCCTGTTAAAACTGATGAAATCATGGAAAGTGCTTTAGCAGTGAGGTAATGGCTTCTGGAAAATCCACCCAGCAACAACCTTGGAGCTGTAAAGTGCTTCYGTGTCAAGAGTTTACTGGGAATTTTTGCAGGGAAATGGTTTAGGAGTTTTGGTGTATGATAAATGCAGAAAACTGATAGAAGTGGCGGGGGGATTGCAGTGGGGTTTGCTTTCTTTGGGTTTTTTTTAGAAACAAGGGCTTAGTTGTACTAATCCAGTGAGAGATGGCTCACTGTAGTTAGGAGATCACTAAAATAATTTGTGAAACTGTAGCTGGTTGCTCTTTTCATTGTCTTAATTTAAGCTCTGTGATGGGGTGACCACTTCAGGCCTAGAATTTCCCTTCAGGCCTTCTCCTGAAAAACTGAAATTTGTCTCTTACTCTTTTCTGTTAATGTAATAGTCAGCAGTATAAATTTATATGTTAATCATTTTAACTGAAACATGTTTTTCTTTGTAAATACAGCAAATTTAGGGCTTTATTTCCTGTATCACCAATGCCCTTTCCAAAAGAGGAAAATAATCCTGCCAAAAAATATAAYAGTGATAGGGCTAAAAAGTGATGTTGGGTGTTCTTTAATGTATCTCCCGAGCTGTCCTGTCCTTTCTTAGCAGTCACCAGTGGGACTATTCCAGGATGTCTCCTGAACACTCTCTTGGATGGAAGTCCCTTGGGTACAAAATTGTCTTCCTGTTGCTTTTTGTCTTCTGACTTCCTAAATTTGCAATCAGAAGAGAGCAGAGAACGTCTCAATCATTCTCCTTTGCTCTCTCATGCTGATAAATGCTGAGATCTGACTGAACACTTGTTAATTTTAGAAATTTGTTGATCTCTGGCCTCAGTGTTTGTTAAAATTCCTGTCCTTCAGATTTTCCTTAGTGAGAGGTGACTTGAATGGAGTGATAGACTGGGGAGAGCTTGTTTGATTTTGTCACACAAACATTTATCATATGAATTTTTAATGTTTGTAAAGAATGTGCTGGTTCATGCTTTATTTATCTACTCTTGGAACAACTGTTATCTTTTTTCTGACTCCTTCAAGGACAATATTCACTTGAACCCAGAATCTTCCTGAGCTTCCTGCAGAGTTTGATTTTATTTTTGTTTAATGACTGGTTGGCCTTTCCTCTCCATAGTTTAGAGTCAGCCAGCTCGAAATTTTCTTTCTGGGAGAGGTCCTTAGTTGTCTTTGTCACTGTTGCATAAAATATACATAATTTTGCATCTTCTGGAACATTGTTTGACTGAAGTAGTGCTCTGAGGGCTGGGTGTGCTTTTGCTGGCTTGCACAGAGTGTTGAAGGGAATTAGTAATTTATCCATTTCTTATTTCTCCTGTCTTGTATGGGATCAGTTTGTGTAGAACTGAAGAGACAGTGTGTGCATGCTCAGTATTTGTGTGTCTCAAAATTAATTGATCTTGGTAAAGTTCTAAAGATTATRCATTTGCATCATGTTTTTCTGAGGAAAAAAAAGCATTTTTTAATGTTAGTTTTGGATGTGGAATGAAAGGGTGTAATATTTCTATTTCTACAGAAAGCATATCTAAAAGATGCAAGAATTTGTTCTTCCAGAACATTTTTTTCACTTAGGGAATGTTTTTGGGTAAAAGTGCAGTTTAGTTTTGAGGTGGTTGTGTAACAAATGGAAGGTTTGAAGAACGTGACAATCTACTACCGTTGTGCTTGCGTTGGTTGATCACCCTTTGCTCCCCCTCCCTTTTATTCTTTGAGATTATTCCGAGATTTAGTCTTTTTAAAGTGGTTTGATGGCATCATGTGACAATAGGTTTTGAAATGATTTCTCAAATAAATTTCTTGCTGTGGATGAAAGCACTTTTAAAATCAGCTGCTGCTTGGGAGGGATGCTAATGATATAACCCTTGATTTGCAGATAGTTCATTTTACAGATAGTTCGTTTCTTTGTAGAACCTCTGGATAAAACTCAAAGCCACATTGAAAAGGACAGATCTAGTAATTGGAGCTTAAAAACACCAAATTGCTTTTACAAATATTCAGGAAGTCCATAAAATCATCTTTCTATGTATTTTCATCTCCCCCAGAAKTCACTTTGCTGGTTGTTCATGGATAAAATGCAGGATGATACTTCCATGAAATGATAATAATTCTTCACTTAAATGCAGGAAATAGCAGAATAGTACATGAAAAGCAGAACCAGGAGTTAAGCAGASCAATTTTAATTGTTACAGTTAGGTCTGTGGAGAAGGCAATTAGCTAATGCATGTTCACAGAAGACATCTAATTGCACCAACATTATCTTAAGCTCTGGAGGGAAAGGTCAGCAAATGGTTGTTTATTTCATGCTGTCACTGAAATTTGGTAATGTATTATTCCTAACATTTCTTTTTCTCATTTCAGTTCTGTAGAAAGTGTTCTGAAAACACTYGTGAAGAGCTGCAGACCGTAAGTGTTTGTTTTGTGATTTTTTTTTTYAGGATTTTAGGATTAATTTAGGAAGTGGGGAGGAGTGATTAAAAGACCCCACTCTACCTGTCATTGTTTGGCTGATGTTTGAAATTTTGGGGTGGAGGGTAGAGACTTTTCTGAGTTAAATTTTTCCTTTTTAACAGCCTTGGTTGCAGTAATACTGTGGTATAAAAAACTGTATCTAGTATGCATTTTAAATACTTCATTGCCTGCATACTTAGAGTGTTTTAAAAGAAATTAAATCACCAGCATTCCTGTAATGTTTCTATAAATGATTCTTGTGCCTGAAGTGATTTTTTTTTAAATATCACATCAAAAGTGAGTAATAGTTATTTGATTTTAACCAGCCTTAACAGTGAAATGGTTTTGCATTGTGCAGATTCTGCTCTGGTTCAACAAGAATCTGTGGTCTTGAAATGATGCACCACAATGTCCTTGATTTACCTCCGTTTTGTGAAGATTTTTGGAGTTGGGGGCTGCCTGCCTATTGCCCCAAGCACATGGTTTTACTCTAAACCTAACGTTTCTGACAAATTAGTAGCTACTTTTCAATATGCTTTGGAAAGAGCCAAGCTTTAGAACCAGGTCTGTGTATATTCACTGTTTTCCTTGTTTTCAGGTATTTCCCAGAAGATGCCACTGCGGAAATGCTGGATGAATGGAGGCCTTTGATGTGTCCCTTTGATGTGACCATGCAGAAGGCCATTACCTATTTCGAGCTCTTCCTGCCCACCACCCTTCCCCCTGAACTTCACCACAAAGGTTTCAAGTGGGTGTCACTGAAGAGTGTTCTGTTCCAAGTGCAAGGRATTATCTTTTACAGGATGATTTGAAGTCAGTGGTGGCTTTCAGCAGCATTTTTTTTAAGGAGTTCAAGACAGAAATACTGTCAACCTGCTTCTTTTGTAAAATAACCTGTAGGAATCTTAGTCCCTCTTCCCCACTGAGTAAAGCACACAGCAAATCAAACTTAATTGAATTAAATGTAGTTTGTAAAGGTGCATTTAAGTCAGGGWCTGTTGTGAAGGGTTTGCATCCTTGGCCTCGGGTAGGAGCTAATGACACCCGTGACCACTGATCCAAAGGGACAAATTTCACAGTGCAAGGCAGAGGGAGATGAAGTGTGATTTGGTTTCATCTGGTTTAATTGTGTTGGGATGGCAAAGCTGGGGTAGATAAGGAAACTCCTGGGGAGGCACTTGTGTGACAGGGGAATCAAAAAAGAGTCAGAGGAGAAACAAAGATAGAAAGCAGGGGTTGAAAGTCGGTATCAGATTTGGGAATATGCTGTGGGAGGGAAATTGAGCATGTCCGTGTTGATCCCTGTTCTCGCTGAATGAATTGAGGGTCAGGTRAATTCCTGCAACCACCTGGCAAAATGAGGGATAAATATTCAGTGGGGGAGCTGCTTTCTCAATGTTAAAATGATTTTGTTTCTGTTTTCTTTCAGGCTTTGGTTTGATGAATTTATAGGCCTTTGGGTGTCAGTTCAAAATCTTCCCCAGTGGGAAGGGGTAAGTTTTTACTTTKCACCTACCCTAGAAGAAATCCTCATTTAAGTCTTCTCACAATGTGTTTGCAAGGAATTGTAGCCAAACAGTGATATAATGGACTTTTCCCTTCTGCTTTAACTAGCACAAGAAAGCAGAGACAATAATTTCATTATTGTTAGCGAGCAATTACTGTCTGAATAAATGAGACTGCAGTTGTGCTTGSTGAACATGGCTTAATGGCCAGCTCAGGCAGATTTTCATTCCAGCCTTGGGAATGCTGGCATTTTTCAGWCTGCTTACTAATACTCAGAATTATGCAAAGTGCAGTTCTGATTTCTAGAAATTACACTTCTGTGCTGTCTTTTAACACATTTTGGATAGTCCTTAATTTTGAATGGTGATGTTCTGCCTTCACTGCAACGAGCTGCTGACATCTTTGAGATAAAATAAAGAAACTGTACTCCCCTTGGCCAAAAATTCCCTTGTGCTGTATCTTTCAAGGAAAATAGTCTGCCATGTGCCTGTCTGCCCCTGTTCATATGAGGAGATCCAAAGCTGGGAAATGCAAACCTCCCTCTGGAGGCAGCCCCAGCAGCAGCTCAGGTGCTGTTGGTGTCAGCTGAGCTGTGCCTTGGCTTTGCTGCAGTGAAACTTGGCATATCCTGTTTTTTTTTCCTACTCAGTATGAACATGAGCTYGTTGGCCATCTAGTTCCTTTTACTAATCTCCTGCCTGGATATACAAGGAGAACTTCTGCCTGTCTGTGGAGAAAGCTGATTTCCAAACCACCATGGTCGTGCATTCCATAGGTCTTCTGGCCTTCCATCACAAATTCAGGGAGGCAGCCTTGGGCCYAGCACTTGGCAGTTGGCCAGCTTCAAATACTGGGGATGCCAAAGTTGTTTTTGAGATTCTGTTGTCACTTTTGCGTCTTTCTGGTGGCTTCTGCCCCCAGAAAAAATCATAATTCTGTCTATTTTTTTCTGACAGAACAGTGACAGTGATTTAGTTTGTTTCTGTCAAACAGTGTAATAAATAATCATCAGCACTCTTTCACAAGTTATCTCTGATATTTTTTCCCCTTTCTACTTCATTCTGACAGTTTGCTTGCTTTTTCTCCCAAAGCTTTCACTTCTTGTTTGCTTTGCTGTCATGTCCATTTCCTAAAGTCAGGTTCATTCCATCCGGCTGGGGTGCACTTAATTGGACACATGGGTTCTGACTCTGCAATCCAATTTAAGCCTCTGTATGCTGCAAGCATTTCCTTGGCTTGCTTTGGCAGAAATTAGTCTTGCAGTTTGAAGGGGAGATGTGGAATCAGTTCCTTGTGTGCATAGTAAAGGGGTTTTTTTTCAGTGGGTATTTCCCCATATCAAGTGAAAAAGGCAACTCATTAAAGAAAATGTAACCCTTGTATTCAGGCTGTGTGTCTGATGTCCTGAATTCAACTTGGGGGTTTTCCAAAGCTGTCATGTCCTTCAGCCTGAGAGGTGATCTGTTCCTCTGGGCTTTCTGTCTCGGAATTAGGCAGGATTATTTAAGGCCCTTATTTTTGACTATATCATTGCTTCAAAATACTGATAGAAGCATTGAGAGCCTGGCAGATATTTCTAGATTTGGAGAAGCTCCTGAAAACAGAGTTGGTGGGTGATGCGCTTTTCACCTTTAGGATACAAGAGTGAGACTTCATCTCCTTTTTTTTTTTGGTTCAGTCCTGATAACTCTCTTTCCTGAGGACATCTTCCAGTTYTCTTTTGGACTCCAGGGGCTATCTTCTGGTGATGGAGTGTCTAATTCTTCATGGGCAGTCACAGACTGCCCTCCCAGCTGACAGCTGATGCCTGTGACCTTTACAAGCCACTGATGTGTTTAAACCAAAACACACAAATGTGACAGCCGGCAGCACACGCTGAGTAGGATGGATCCTGCAGGAACTTATTGTCCTAAATGGCTAAATATTGGGAAAAGCTAGATGGATGAGTTGGTGGAATTTTCTTCCATRTCACTGTATAAATGCTATTTTAGGCCTGTGAAACATGCCTTGGTGGTTTGTAGGGAGTGAAATCTCCCTTCCCATGTGCTTTAGTGCTATGGGTAGCTTTTATCTGTGYATGTGAAGTAGTTGGAGGGGTTTGCATCTTTTGTTCTCAATATATTCTACTGAATATTCCCTTTTTTCTGGTTGTTTTCAGCATCTAGTCAATCTTTTTGCTCGCTTGGCCACTGACAACATTGGGTACATAGACTGGGATCCATATGTACCAAAGGTAACAATGCTCATTTCTTACATTCCTTACTTACCTTTCTTGGTGGATTTGGATTTTTAAAACAACTTTTCATTGGAATAYTAATTAATGCAAATGTTTGGTTTTCTTCTGGTCAGATTTTTACTAGGATTCTGAGGAGTTTAAATCTGCCAGTGGGAAGCAATCAGGTGGTTGTTCCAAGATTCTTAACAAATGCTTACGATGTAGGACATGCAGTCATGTGGATCACAGCTATGATGGTGAGTAACTGCTTCATAAAAGAAAACAAAAAACAATGCAAAGCTTTAAATATGTATTTAAGATGAATATTTGTTCTGCTGAGCTCACTGTAGAAGTGTGTTTTAGGCTTTTTTGCYGAAGTTTTGTTGTCAAGTCCAWCGTTGCACTGTCAGTGTGGAATGGGGCTGGAAAGGTTTGTTTCACAGCTGCTGCCTGTGGCATTTTGGAAAGGAGCAGGCACCTGTTTTAGTGTGAACCTCAGCAGATGGGATGGAGAGAACTTGTTCTTACAGCTGAGCCAAGGGTGGGATATGATTTGCTGCTTTGAGCTCTTGCTGCAGGGAGAGCACACCTGTGTCTCATGCTGCTCTTGCCTGTTTCTGTGTACTAAAATTCTGTGGTTTATTTATTTCAGGGTGGACCAAGTAAGCTGGTGCARAAGCACTTGTCTGGCTTGTTCAATAGCATTGCCTCTTTTTACCATCCCTCAAACAACGGGCGCTGGCTGGTGAGTCGAGTGGTTTGGCTGTCGAGAGAACTTTGGCTGGGATTTCAACCTGTCAAACCTGTATGCTCCAGGCTGTCTGTGGATGTGTGGTGCTTGGATACATGAATTATCAAGATCCAAGATTACACTGYCATTCAAACTATGCTCTCATTCTCATGTCAGGTCAGAGGTCTAAAATAAGACACCTAATTTGGGTGTAGCCAGGAAAAACATTAACACTTGAAATGAGGGTGATAAACACCATCAGTGTGTCCTGTGTGACACAGCTTTTGTGTTYCTGACCTACTGTCTCCAAGTTATCAAAATCTCGAATGGGCCTTGGAGCCGCCCAGTCCTGTGGAAGGCGTTCCTGCCCATGGCAGGGGGTTGGAACTGGATGAGCTTTAAGATCCCTTCCAACCCAAACCACTCTGTGATTCTATTAAAGCATAAAGGATTTTTAATGCATGTCTAGTTTGCAGCATGTTGGTGTAACTAGTGGAATCTTCTGTTAAAGAATGTAAGAACCTCCCTGTGATAGCTGGTGGAAAATAGAGATTAAAACAGCAAGGCTGGTCACAGAAGTACCAAGGAAGCTGACTTGTTCTAGAAGAGAGTATTTCCTTACACATGTGAGAGAATGCTCTCAAAAATGTCCTAGTTACTGGTAAATAATCTTGATTCGTGGCTCTCTAATTTTAATGTGTTTTTCATTACTTTTTAAATCATAAGAYGTAGTGCTGGCAGCACAATTACTGGTATTTTGGGAAGTTAATTTTAGTGACAAATAGTGAACATCATGTTTTAGAGCTCTTCTGAGTTTTCCTTTTTTGTGGTTATGTAATTCCAAGATCTCACTTTATAAATTTTTGTTGTGCACTGAGCASCTCAGGTTGCTGCTCAGTTGTTGTGCTGCTGCCAAGCCACTGAGCAGCATTTGTGGTCCTTTCCCCAGAACAAACTGATGAAGCTGCTCCAGAGGTTGCCCAGTAGTGTTGTGAGGAGGCTGCACCGTGAGCGCTACAAGAAGATGACCTGGTTAACTCCTGTCCCTGAGAGCCACAAACTCACGGACCAGGATGTGACAGACTTTGTGGAATGCATCATCCAGCCTGTTCTCCTGGCAATGTTCAGCAAAACTGGAAGCCTGGAGGCTGCCCAGGCCCTGCAGAACCTTGCACTGATGCGTCCTGAATTAGTAATTCCACCTGTACTTGAGAAGTAAGTATKGCAGGAGCACTGCAACTTCTTCATGCCCTTCCCAGGAAATAAATAGGAAAAGCAGTCATTGAATAATAAATTAATTCCTTGATGTGAATATGAATGCCTGCCAYGAGAGGAGCTGCTGATACACCCACCTGAGAAACCACCTTAATCAGAGTGGGAGCAAGGGAGGACTCGATTTTTTATTTTAATTAATTTGATTTGTTTTATTGTTTGTTTGGTTTGGTTTTTATTGAACACTGGGCAAGGGGARTAGTTCTGGGAGCTGTTGACAGTTCTTGTGCTTTAGGGCAGTCAGTCCTCAGTGGCTTGMATTTCTGGTAGCATTTTGTATCAGATAGTGGGTGGATCAGTTGAAAAAGCAACTTTGCATCCTTTATTYGTAAGCCACCAAGTAGGTTCCAGGTACACCTGCTAGTTGTTGCAATAAGGATATATTTTGTATTTTTCTTTTGTTCAGAGCRTGTTACAGGTCGTTTAAAATCACTGGCGTTGCTGGCTTTGTAATTGCCAGCCTGTGTGTCTCTGTGAAATACTTGGTTTGTACTATTTCTAATGCCTTGATGCCTGAAATTTCCAAAGAAAAATGTTGCTGCCTCCTGCTCCAGTGAAAGCCTTCCTCCTAGCYACCTTTTGTATTGTAGCAGAACAGCAGAGAAATGAGTTTGAATAGACCTTCCAGTGTTCYACACCCCCTTGACTCAACTGTCTGGAAAAACTCTATAAATCTGCCCTTCTACAAAACATCCCATGGGCASCAGGGCTGAGTTGGGTTGCCCTTTCTGTTTCGAGAGCAGACCCAAYGTCTGCCCTGTAGTTCAAACTATCCCTGGAATGTTTGCCTTGGCTGCAGTTCCAGATTATTTGGGTGAGCTGTGCTTTGGGTGACGTAGGGCAGCACTGTGACTCCTGTCAGAACTGGAGGGTGTTGGTAATAATAGGAAGTGTTGTGCAGTTTGCTAAAAATTATTTGATGTTTAAAAAAATGGGTTTAGAAGTCACAGGAACGTCCTGGGTTTTGATAAAAGAGGTCTGGACTTTATTGTAACATTRAGTAAGAGATCCCTTCTCTATTTAGAGGCAGCCAAGGAACTTTTTCATATTTGCCACAAGAACTTTACAGCTGGCATTGGCTCAAAGCCCAAATAGGGAAATCATGGCAGCTTTGGGTGCAGGAGCGCAGGCAGTTAACTCCTATGCTGCAGCTGCTCTGAAGGTATTTCATCCTGAACTAGTGGTGGATAGCACTGATTCAACAGAATGAATATTGTAACAAAACAATGTTAAAAATCCATTGGAAAACGCTGAGAGCACCATTTTGGAACCAGGAATTTTTTTTATCTTTAACGCAGAAAATAGTATGTGCAGTTCACTTCACTATTGTCTTTGAAGGCTTTAGAAACATTACTGTGGCTAATCTGGCTGCSTCCCATTTGACAGAACATATCCTGCACTTGAGACCCTGACAGAGCCTCATCAGCTCACAGCCACCCTGAGCTGCGTCATTGGAGTCGCTCGGAGCTTGGTGTCCGGCGGGAAGTGGTTTCCTGAGGGTCCCACACACATGCTACCTCTGCTGATGAGAGCCTTGCCTGGGGTGGACCCAAATGACTTCAGCAAATGCATGGTGAGTGTACAAACAGTGCTTTTTTTTTTTTTGGAAGAGAATTAGCCAACTAACKAATATTGTATTTTATGTAGAAATATTTTTATATTTTTCTGAAAGCAGGTAACTCCCGTGTCCAGAATATATCAGCCTTTTTTTTTCTGCACAATTTTATTCCTAAAAATTTAGTATTGCAGGCCTCTTTGGCTCATTTAACAGTGCAGAGTGGTTGTGATAAGCATTGTACTGACTTTTGGGGCAGCTCTGAAAAACAAGATTAAATAGCCTAGTCTTTTGGGATCAAAAGGTCTTTATCACTGTCTTTTCATTCAGTTACAAATGTCCACGTTTTCAAATTTCATATTAATGGACTTAAAATTATGTAAGTATTGGGGTTTTGTAGCTTTAAAGTTCAGCACAAAATAATTGCTATGTTACTTAGAAAATTGAGAATATTTTTGTGCTGCCTGTTAAATTTTATATATGAAATCTGAAATAGCTGTTGAAGTTTTAGGGTGGAAGAATTGAGGTCTGGGTTTTTTGTTTTTTAGTATCATTTGCTTTAGCTTCTGTATCTTAATTATAAAAGCTTTTGAATGTGTAGATACAATAACACTCATTAAAGAGCTGTTTGCACCTCTCAACAGATTACATTCCAGTTCATTGCAACATTTTCTACTCTGGTGCCTTTAGTAGATTGTTCATCTGTATTGCAAGAAAGAGATGATCTTTCAGAGGTAAGAGTGCTGGGATGTTACAAATGCAAAGCTGTAACTCAGTTTTCGATTTCATTTCTAACAGTGTATGCGCAGATACGAATCCTGTTTGTTTCTGATCAGTGTGTCAGAACTGATACCTGTGTGCAGATTGGCTTTAGCAATGGTTCTTAGTCTTTAGCAATGGTTCTTAGTCACAGCTTGTTGTAGAAGATGTTAAATTCGAGCAGTTTAATGTTTTTAATTCAAAACCCAATTGCTCAGGGCCCTGCGTGGTGTCATTTGACTCAAAGCTTTCCCTGCTTTGAGGAGGAGGTTGGACTATGTAGTTATTTTAAATAGTGCATTAGATTTTTTCCCCCCATTTTTCAGACCTGTTTTCTTCCTAAATGAAGCTCTGCTTCTCTTTAARGTCCTGCTTCCCTTCCCTGATTGAGATTTTATTGCTTTCCCTCCCGGTACTTGTTAATCTCTGCCAGTCAAGAGATAGTAACAGCATTAGACAGTGAGTCTTATCCCCCTTATCAYCACACCTGTTTGCTCCTGGGACACTTTGCAGCTCAGAGAGCCACAGGTTGCCCAAATTAAAAAGTGAATTTCAATGTCGCAGAGCTGCAGTACTCAAAAATGAAGTGGAGTTTGTACAGTGAATATTTAATATAAATATCTGCCAGCAGAGCCAGGTCTGGCAGCACCCCTGGCATTCCCTGACCTCCTGCTGCAAAGGAGGATCAGTGGGGAGGCCAAAGGTTGTATCCATGGAGGCAGATTTGATTTCACCAGAAGGTTATTTGGATACACATCCAGGCCAGGAAATTGTCCTGTYCCAATGTCAGGAACATGTAATAATTGTTTCATGGAGTACTTGGGTCTGACGGTGGGAAGTACACGGTAGAATGTTCTCACTTAGACACTGGAAGTCATTAATATAGGAAGTAAACTTTGTTTMCTTAATAAAAGCCAACTTTGTATGTTTCCTTTGTGTTGGAAAACTGTAGGTGGAAAGAGAATTGTGCTCTGCATCTGCTGAATTTGAAGATTTTGTGCTGCAGTTTATGGATAGGTGAGTGAGCCAAAGATAGGTGAAAGCTTGGCATGAAGAACTTCATAAAACTTGGCAGTTTCACTTGCTAACCCTGCATTTATTGGGTTTATTTGTGTAGATGTTTTGGATTGATAGAGAGCAGCACATTAGAACAAACCAGAGAGGAGACTGAAACAGAGAAAATGACTCAYCTGGAGAGTCTGGTGGAATTGGGTCTCTCTTCTACTTTCAGTACAATCCTTACCCAGTGTTCAAAGGATATCTTTAAGGTATGTAGAGCATGGGCTTTTCATCTCTTTTAGGAGGTTTAATTTTGTGTTGACAACAACTGGTGCATTCAAATACTTCTTTCCTTCCTAAATGTGAACTTCCACACCAAGGGGGAGCTTGCCCTCCTGTCAGTTTGGTTTATAATTTTATCTACATCAGTGCAGATCTCTCAGGTTCTTGATGCTCTCCTGCAAAATGAGAAATCGTTCCAGCAGTTTATTTTATCTCTGTATAGTTTTGGTTGAGGATTTTCATGTATTGATGATAATGCTGACCCACCCAAGCCCCTGCTTTCCTTTTCTCCCTGCCACTTCTTCAGCTGGGCAGGAGAGGCTTTTTAAGGTGCTGTGTGGCTAATGGGATCAGGAAAATTACCTGGATTAAAATAACTCAGAGGGAGAGGGTGGAGAATCCATGCTATTACATGAGCAGTTTCTTTCCTTGTAGATGGTGTTAGCACATGTCTATGTGTTTAAATATATATACATATTTATATGTATAATTTAAAGATACCAGGTTTTGCCACGGATGCCACATCTTGAATGTTGGCACTTTGGGATGATTTTTGTTTGGAATCTTCTTTTGAATGCAAATCATAAGTTAATTCTTTGTTGTCATTAAGTATTTAATTTGTACTTTTCCTGTTTATTCATTATTCAGGTATTTATGGAATCTACATTTKATATAGTTCAGCTTGCCTTGCAAGGCATTGGATGGAAATAATCTGCTTTAAAGCACACTGGCTGCTTAAATAGTTGCTACTTAATTCCCTATTTATTTGTTAACTAAGGGATGTCTTGGCTGTCCTTCACTGTGACATGTGAAATCTTTCCTGTCATCAGCCTGTGACTTATTCCTGGAAAACCTTTTCTGTGTAGTTTCTCAGAATCTCCCTGAACTTCTGTTAGTCATCAAGATGGTATCCACCTCCTCTTTTCCCAAAGGGAACATTTCAGGCTTTCCA